GAAAACGAACGTCGAAGAAACTTAGCAAAGGATGAACAGAACCACCGGTTGGTTTCAACACCGGGGTCGGCGTTTTCTTGACTTCTTGAATAGAGTTTCTTGAATGACCATAAACACTGGCCGGAACGCTAGTTACTCTCTTCAATCTCGCTTCTTCGTCGCCGAGCTTTTCGTATCCGCCATGGATTTTCCTTGTGCTCATGGCTCTAAACATGGTGGTAGAGTGTATTGTGAAAAAAAAAAAATTGTGTTTTAGGTGTGTTGTTGAATCTTTCTCTCTTGATGGGTGTTTATTTAAGTAAGTAGGCCAAGTTTGCTTTGTGAAATGAAAAGGATAAAAATAGTAGATCTGTTGACTTTTATTTTTTTTTGTGTAGATCTCAAACTAACAAAATTAATGTGTAACATTTAATAAAAAGCATGTGTTAGTGTTACACCAACATGATGTATACATTTCGTCCCCTATTTAATCGCCGGTCGAATGTGTTTTATGCTGACTTTTACGTCTACATCTTTTAGACTATTCAAATGGAACAATGTCTTCAGAGCATAATCAATCTTGGGTGGTATTAGATTTTTTTAATGGATTGTTAAGGATTAAAAACAATTAAATAATCTTAGCATTTTAGCATTTCAAAAATGTAGTTGCTAATTTTAACATTTTAGCACCTCAAAAATAAATTGTTAATGAGTTAAAAATAATTAAATAATCTTTGCATCCCAACTTTAGCAATTAAGGTTGATTATGCTCTTAGAGTTTACACTGACTTGTCTTGTGCGAAACTAACTTTCCTTGTCTCATCTAAATCCAAAAATTTATGAAAGAAGAAAAAAGGTTGCAACTTTGTCAAAGTTATAAAGGAAATATCTCAGAAACCATAAGCAAAGAAATAATATGAATCACTTTGTTCACAAATCCACTAAAAGTCGAGATGGACTTTAACTCATAAAAGCACATATTCTCGGTCTTATTTAGATTTTCAACTGTTTTCAGCTTTTTTTTTTTTTTGTTAAATACTTTTTTTTCAGCTTTTGTCAGCTTTAGTCTTGGTACTATTTATTTTAAATTTCATAACCTTTGCGAGATGAAACTCAAT